ATATGGTCATCTGCTTCTGTTTTTTTGGGCATCTTCAGGGGTTATCTGTGGACTTAATACTTAGATGGGTATATATTTTGGTATTTTCTATAGTCACCAGAATGGAGGTGCGCAGACAGCAAGGGACCAATGAACAGATACCAAAAGAAAAGAATGTCCACACCTTTATCTCCACGGTTCTCCCAAGCGTCTGTGGCTGCTCTGATCCTTCCCCTGCTTGGTCTCACCCAAGATAGCGGCTCCTGGAGCAGCTGAGCGTTCGACTAGAAAGCAATAGATTTCTTGCTTCTGCCACAAATTACCCCAGCTGTGAGCCTTCCAACCTTCTAAATATTCCTTTATATGTGGTTCAGAGTTCTGGGACCATCCTCTGAGCTTGCTTGGTTGGGTATTCTGTGTTGTTGTTGGCGGAGCTCCTTTACTGCACTTCCACCCGATCCGCCATCTTGTTTGTTCATAAGTTTATTACTTTTTGCCTCTTATTTTTTACTTTTTGGTTTACTTTCTAGGTTTACTTAGCTTTACACATCAACTTCTATATTGGAGTTTTTATTTTTAAGAATTTTAAGGTGATTTCATAGCATATTTTTTTATGGTTGCAATAAATATTTTTTTCTCTAAAATTTTCTTCTGTCCCCTACAATTTTTTGTTTTGTTTTGTTTTCTCCATGTTAATTTGTTTGCATGTCTGCTTATTTCACCTTTTCCCATTTTGAAAGGTTTCCTGTAACTTCTGTAAATCCTTATTATCCCAGTGATACGGCATTAGAAAGCTATTTGGAAGTGCTGTAAGACTGCAAGAATCTGGTAGATTAGCAATTTTCCTTTAAGGGGTTTTAGTTGGAAGCTTGCCATTTGGTTGGGGAACTCTCACATATCATCAGTATAGAGTGGTCTTTTGTCAAGCATTCAGGGAAGAGCTCTGCCCACTCCCATGCCTAGAGCTTCTGCTTTTATGGAAAGGGTAACTAGAGGGTAATTTGCCTTCTTTACAAACTTCTTTGTTAGTCTCCTGTTTTCAGCCTCATTGCTGCTGTGCCAGGGGCTTGGTGCCTCCAAACTTCAAGCCTCAAAGAGGTTTTGTTGGAGAAATTGTCTTGTTTTCTTTTTGCTCACTTTTATGTTTCCTCTCTCTTGCTTCCCATATTCCAAAAATAATTGGCAGTTTCTTCTTTGTTCACATTCTCTTTTTCTTAGACATCTAAATTATTTTTGCTTCTATATTATGTTGTTGGAGTTTCAAGAGAAACAGAGATACATTCCTATATTAACCTCTAAGGGGAAGTTTGCCTTAAGTTCCTTGGCTTTATACTTCCTTTTATGTTTCTGAGTAATCTCACTGGTGTTTTACCATATTAATTGATTAGATTCAGAGATTAAACTATAACTTACATTTAAATGTTGCATATATCACTTTCTTTTATCATGTAAATTTAAAGGACTTTTAATGCCTTCTAAATTATTTTTTTTCTTTTTACCAATTTGTCCTTATGTTCCATTTATGAACTTTGTCATGTTCTTGAGCTTTTATGTAATTTTTACAGAAATGTAAATTTCTTTCTAAAATGCCTGGTAGATCTTGCTTCTTTCTTGGCACCTTAAATAGATGTCTTCAGTACATTTGTTTTGTTAATATTAGCCTAAATTTCATTATTTGGCTATAGGGTACAATTAAAATTCCATATCGAAACATGCAAACTGCTAACCCATGAGCCCTGTTCTAACTTCTAAACAATTTATACAGAAATTTCCTAGAGCACTTTCTGTGCTTTTTCTGATTTATCATCAGAACATTTGTTGAGACTCAAGTTAACAACCATTGCAATTTGGGTATATTTAGAGATTGTATTGTTAAGAGAGAGGAAACCTTGATATCTGTGCTGTGAACAGATAATGAAGCTATTACAAGTATGTGTTGTTTAACATACATTATACGTTCTGTGTGGAGTGCTGGTGTTGCACTGTGGGGTTAAAGGGCTGAACTGCAAAATCATTTGAATTGTAAGTTCAGCAATTTAAGCTCAGCAGCCGCTCCTCAGAAACCCTATACAGGGTCGCTATGGGTCGTGACTGATTCAACGGCACTTAACTGCAACAACATACATTTTGCAATATAGGATGTTATAAGATTTGGACATTGTGAGGACATCATATTAAAACCTAATGGAAGTCTGGTTCCCGTCCTCATCGCTGCCGAAGTTGCTGAAGTAGCTGGTGGAGGCTGGAGGAATGGGTGACAGCTGAGAGGAGGGTGGTGGCCAGAGTGGAGTGAGAGGAATCTGCAGGAATAGCATGGGCTCCGCATTCCCCGCTACCCATCTAACTATTAGACAAAACCTGAAAGTTCGCACCCAGAGCCATATCCTTGGCCTTACCTGCCTGCATCTTACCTATCTATGGTCCAGTGCTGTAAGAGCCTGTATTTGGGTTCTTTAATGTTGTTGTTGTTAAGTGCCATCGAGTCTGTTCCGACTCATAGTGACCATGTATAGGGTTTCCAAGGAGTGGCTGGTGGGTTTGAACTGCAGACCTTGTTGTTGGTAGTCCAGTGTTTATCCTACAGCACTACACAAGGACCCCAACATCAGGATTCTTAAGTGCTGTCAAGTAGGTTCCAATTTACATTGACCTCTCTAGGGTTTCCAAGGAGCAGTTGGTGGGTTTTTGAATTGCTGACCTTGTGGTGCGCAGTCCAGTGCTGATCCTGCAGCGCCACACCAGGTGTCCTATAGTCTAGCGTAAACCAGAGAGACTGGTTATCCCAATACTAGTATAAACCCAAGTCAAAATAGTTGTTGAGAAATGTGAACATTTCTCTAGTTAAAAATTATTTCTTTCATTCAAGATCAACTTCTCTTTTAGATTGAATTGTGTACCCCCAAAATATTTGTTGTAAATCCTAACATCTGTGCCTGTGGTTATAATCCCACTTAGGAATGGGTTGTATTTATTGTGTTAATGAGACAATCATTATAGGGTATGTCTTGAGTCAGTCTCTTTTGAGATATAAAAGATTAAGTGAGCAAGTTAGAAAAGCAGAGATATGGGAAGAGACATGCCAAACCACATGAAGATCACCCAGAGCAGAAAGTAAAAGAGACCAGGACTTTCCTTTAAAGCCAACAAAAAGAGAACGCTTTCCTCTAGAGCCAGCAACCTTAGTTCGATCAACTTCTAGTCTCCTAAATTGTGAGAAAGTAAATTTCTATTTGTTAAAGTTACTCACTTCTGGTATTTCTGTTATGACAGCACTAGACAACTAATCAGAATTTGATACTGGGAGTTGGGTACTGCTCTAACAAATACCTAAGATGAGGAAATGGTTTTGGAATTGAGTAATGAATAGAGACTGTTTTAAGACCATAATAGGAAAATTCTATTTTCCCTGAAGAGACTTTTATTTAAAATTATGAATATCATAGGCAGTTCCATTGAGGGTTCAGAAGGAAGTGATGACAGTGATAGAGAAAGTCTCACTTGTCTTATGGAGGACGTAATGTGGACTTTAAATGTACGTCTGGTGATGTTTTAAAAGAAAATGATCAACCTGTGATTAGACAGTGGAGGAAGGGTGATGCTTTTTATGCAGTGGCAAAGAACTTGTTTGAAAATATATTCAAATGTTTGGTGAAAGGAAGAGCATGTAAATGATGAACTTACATATTTATCTGAGGACATTTCTAAGCAAGATCTTAAAGGGACTGAATGGTTTCTCTATGCCACTTAAAGTAAAATACTAGAGAAAAGATAAGGACTTAGAAATGAACTATGTAAAATGAAAACAGACTTAGATGTTTGGAAATTTTGCTGTATACACTTAAGGACATGTGTCTAGAATATTCACCAAGGATGGATCTAACCAACTACCATAGCAGAAAATCCATTAGCTTAGACTGAAGGGGACAGAGAAATAACTAACGGAAAGAGCACTGTCTACCTCTCAGAATTTTACAGGCAAGAACAGGCCAAAGGAGCTGCATCAGTTATACTTCAACAAAGGAAAACGAATCATTCCTGCAGCAGCTCAGAGATCATTAGAGATGTTGGAAGGAGCACAGGAAGTGGTACCTTGTCAGCCTAGATGGCACTTGACACCATCAACAACAAACTGTGGGGAGGACTCCTGGTGTAGGATCAGCACTGGACTGCGAACCACAAGGCCGGCTTTTTCAACCGCTCCTCAGAAACCCTATACAGGGTTGCCATGAGTTGGTACCAACTCTACAGCACATAACAACAACAACAAACTGGGGAAGGAGTGTGGTGACTCCATATGTTAAGCACTGGACTGCAAACCGGAAGGTTTGTGGTGTTAGCCAGTGAGCCCACCAGCTGCTTTGTGGGGGAAAGATGAGGCTTTCTGCTCTTGAGATTTAGAGCCTTGGAAACCTTATACAGGGTCACTCTGAGTGGGAACCAACTCCAAAGCACTTAACAGCAACGAAACTATGGTGGGGGGAAATCTTCAGTTTGTTAAAGGCACCCACTGTGGTATTTCTTTTATTGCTGTACTAGATAGCTAAGACAACATTTTGAGAGAAGAATATGAATAACATTATTGTCTTCTGTCAGATGGGAGATAGATGTGTACGTATAGGTCACATACCTTTTTCTGTGACCTTTTCAAGCATTCTTGATTATTATTGGAATTTTAGAGCGCCGACATAGAAATTTTTCATGATCTTTTTGATAGCTTAAAATTTTGATAGATTAAAATTAGAAGCCAGCTTCTAGTTTATCAGGCAGAAAGATTTTAGAATAAAAGCTGTATCCCACGTGTGTTGTTGTAAAGTGCCATTGAGTCAATTCTGACTCATAGCGACCTGGTAGAGGATTTCCAAGAAGCGGCTGGCAGCCCAGTGCTTACTGATAACTACTGACCTCACCACACCAGGAGACTCAAAGTCAAAAGTCCTCATTTACTGCCCATGGAGATTTTATGTATCAAAAAAATGTAACGTTGATTAATCAGCTACTTTTTTACGGGTAGTTATTTCTTCTATAAAAACAATAGTTTTTCAGGCTAATAAAAGCTTCTGTTTATTTTCTTTCTTTTTAGGGAAATCACTACTAAAATTAGTCTATAACTGAACATATTTTGTATTATTTGGTAGCACCCTTGATGAAAATAGATTTTTTTAATATTGTATAAACAATCCCTATTTTCAATTTTTTATAGATGTCATATTGTTGATTTTCATAAGTCGACTGGTCCTTTGGGTACACACCCTCGCTTATTTGAGTGGATATTGAACTACTATTCGTCAGAGAGGGAAGGAATCCCAAAGGTAGTGTGTACATCTAAGCCTCCTATCTATCTTCAGCATCAAGGTTAGTATAACGCATAGATGACAATGTTATTTATAAGATGAACTCATTGGTTTCTGCTTTAGGCTAGGTTAAGATTCTGATAGCAGGGTGGGTAGGGGGTCAGGTGTGGGACATTAATGTCTGTCTAATCACCAGCTGCTCCTCGGAAACCCTATTCAGGATCGCTTTGTGTCAGAACCAACTCGATGGCATTTAGCAACAACAGATTTCCAGAACTACTGTCATTGCAGTAGATTGCTGGGTAATGAAGGGTGTCTGCAATCCTCAGGGCCATTGCTTAGTTCGCTTCCTTCTTTTTGCACTTGTTATCTTCTTAAAGCGTTTACAATATGTCACCTCAGTAAGACCTGACTGCGTTATTTAAAATTGACACGCGTTCTAGCTCTGCACTGCTGGCATGTTCTACCCCTTGGGGTGTTTAGGATAATGCAGTGGACCACGGGGTCAGTTTGACCCACAAGGTCGGCAGTTCAAACTCACCAGCTGCTCCTCAGGAATCCTGTACTTGTAAAATTTCAGCCGCTTTTTGAAACTGACTTAATGGCACTTCACAACAAGCCTCTGCTTTATTTTTTTATCCTGACATAAAATACTCTTTTTTTTTTTTTTAACCTTGTTTATAGAATATCTCTTCCTATTAGAATATAATCTCCACAAAGGCAGACATTTTTCCTGTTTATAGCTGTATCCCTAACTGCTTAGAGTAGTGTCCATGCTAGACATTTGATAATTTTGTTGAATTAAAGATTTGGATTGATGGGCATAAATAAAATTAAATGTGAGGAATTTAACTGATTAGGAATACAATTCTCCCCATTGAAATTGGAACCGTGAGAGTTTGGGTTCTAGGGTGGATAAATTACAGATCCTCTCATTTGAGATAATTTGAATAAGAGTCATCAAAGGGGTTGGGAAAGAAAACAAAATAGGAATAAAAGTAGAATCTTCTGTAAGGAAAACAAAGAAAACTGAAAGAAAGACAGCCATAGACTGTTGTTCAGTGCTGTCAAGTTCCAACTCTTATCCTGTATAGGGTTCCAAGGAGCAGCTTTGAACTGGGTTGGAACTGCCAACCTTTCAGTTAGGAGTCCAGTGCTTTTCCTACCATGCCACACTAGGATTCCAACTGAAGGTTAGGAAAGTAGAACTAAAGTCTTGTATATTAGGGGTGAGCTAACTCAGCTATATATATTCTACATGTTGTTGTTACAGGCTGTTAAGTCAGTTCTGACTCATAGTGTTTCAGAGGCTTTAAATCTGCGGAGCAGAAAACCTCATCTTTCTCCTGGAATGGTATAGACATATATATAGATGGAGTACTTTGTGGCATTGTAGGATAAGCAGTGGACTGCTAACCACAAGGTGAATGTTTCAAATCAACCAGCCACTTCTTGGAAACCCTCCACAGGGTCGTTATGAGTTGCAACCAAATTGATGACCCTTAGCAATAACATATAGCTATATATTTGTTGTTGTTAAGTGTTGTTGGGTCTTTTCCAACTCTTAGTGACACTGTAAAGGGTCTCCATGGCTATAAATCTTGTGGGAATAGAAAGCCTCATCTTTCTCACGTAGAGCAGCTGGTGGGTTAGAACTGCTGACCTTGTGGTTCACAGCCCAGTGCTTTATCCTACAAAGCCACTGCGCTCCCCATATGTTAGATGTTGTTGTTATACAGATATAGATATATGTATATATATATTTAAGGAGCTCTGGTAGCGTAGTGGTTACGAATTGGGCTGCGAACCGCAAGGTCAGCAGTTCGAAACTACCAGCTGTTCTGCAGGAGAAAGATGAGGTTTTCTGCTCCTGTAAAGATTTACAGCTGCAGAACCTCTGTACAGGGTCGCTATGAGTCGGAACCGACTCCACAGCACATAACATATATATACATATATATATTTATATGCTAAATATACAAACACTATGTGTTGTATGAGGGGAGAAATGTGTATATATAGTAAGATACCTGTGTGTATAAGTATCGATTTAGATAGATAGGACACATGCATAGCTGTTATTTTAATTTTTTTGTAGGTCATAGTCGAACAGTTGTTGGAATTGAAGAGAAGAAAAACCGAACATTATGTTTACTTGTATTTGATCCTGGATGTCCTTCTCGAGAAATGCAGAAACTATTAAAGCAAGACATGGAGAGTAACAGTCTCAAGCAACTTCGGAAGTTTGTTGGCAATCTAAAACATAAGCAGTACCAGGTGGTGGTAGTGGACGGTGTTCTTTCTCCAGAGGAGAAGGCTGTAAGGGTCTAAATATTTATTATTAGCTTTGAAGGATTCTTAGCTAAAATCAGTTTTATCCTTTTGTATCTCTTATCATCTTGTTATATTTTATTATGCTGGCAAATACATTTTGTGTTTTGGTTATGTCATTTAATTTCTGGAATGGCCATCTTTAAATTCCAAGTGGAACCTAACTACCTTCATTTGTGTTACTCTAGAGCCGCACAAATAAAATTAATTTTATACTATTTCATTGATAAGTAATGAGCACATATGTTGTTGTTGTTGTTATTAAGTGTCATCAAGTCGGTTCCAACCCATAGTGACCCTGTATAGGGTTTCCAAGGAGTAGCTGGTAAGGTTGAACCACCGACCTTGCAGTTCAAATGACTTTAGTCTGATGCATTAGCCCACAGCGCCACACCAGAACTCCAAACACATATGAGGGGGCTTCAAAAAAATTGTGGGAAAATTCCATGATCTTTTAATTCCGTTTTCCACAAACTTTTTGAAGTCTCCTTGTATATGTTAGGAACACTTATCTTAATACAGGAGAACTAATTGTATAGGTCTTAATTGTCGTTTATTAAAATATGACTTGTGGTTCCTGTGGCTTATTTTATATACTTGATCTTATTGGATATGTGCAGTTCTAGAATTTAACTTGAGGGTGCACAGTGGCTCTGTCCAGTAAGCACTGGACTGGAAACTACAAAGTTGGTAGTTCAAGCCCATTATTACTCTGTAAGAGAAAGATGAGGCTTTCTGCTGCCACAGAGATTTACACCCTCAGAAACGTATACAGGGTTGCTATGAGTTGGAACCAAACTGACGGCACTTAACAGTTGAATTTAACTAGTAGAGTTCCCTCTTAACCTTTGTTTCTTGTAAAAAAAAAGTTGAAAAAAATTCTAAGAATTTAAGAAAAAAATTCTAAGAATTACACTTGGTATGGACTAAAGCTGTGAACTATGTAATGGTGTATCAAGTTCAGAAAATAGACAGTCCTGAAATCTTAAAGATAAAAAAAAAAAAAAGGTCCACTATTTGAGTATTTCACATTGATATGTTTCCCTTTAAAGGGAAAAGAGACAGGATTAGAGAGGAGACGATAGTAGAAAATGAGATATTGGGAGAAAAGACTGAAACGTGAGGTGGAGCTAGGATAATCTTTTTAGCCTGAAAACTTGGAATTTGAAAACATTGTTTCAGAGTTCTTCAATTATGATACATTAAAGTTTTCTGTGCAGTGATTTAAATATAAAAATTGCATTTCTTTTTGCTGCTAACAAAAAGGTTGGTGGTTTGAACCCACCCAGTGGCTTTATAGGAGGAGATCTGGCATATGTAGCCTTCCATAAAGGCTACAGCCAAGAAAACCTCACATGGGTTCACTATGAGTTGGAATCACTTCACAGGCACCTGTCCACAGCAGTGACATCATTCATTTGGTCAGATAACGTTAGAGGTTCATTTAATTATTACTAAAATTCCAAGATGTCTGCTCACTGATGTATGCCTGGGAGTCTAGCTAAACATTTTAATTAACTATTCTCTTTATAGTTTGAAATGGAAAGATTGGTGGTGGTGGTGTTAAGTGCTGGTAGCGTTAGAAGACTGAAAATAGGCTTCTCACACTGTATTTTCTGTGGTTTCATTTTGTTTCTTTTGAATCATGGAGAGTAACTGTAACTTTAATGATCAGAATCAGAACATAAGAGCAATGCACAAAGAAGAGGCTCTCTACATCCTTAAAGATTTACATCCTTGGAAACTCTATACAGGGTTACTTTGATTCAGAACTGACTCAATAGCATACAACCAATCACCATGCAGAGGTACAGAGAGATGGTTCTATTCCTAAAATCACACAGCTACTAAGTAGCAGGGGCAGGACAGTTAGTTTGCATACACAGAGCTTGCCCTCTATTGCCTCTTAGATGAGAATACAAACCTCCATATTTTAATGTTTGCTAAGCTTTTGTGGGAACAATTTTACATTTCTGATTTTTTAAACAATTATTATAGTAGTGGTTAACCTGCAGATCAAATAGGAATTTACAATTTTTAATAGGACAAAAATATTAATTTTATGTTTAACTTAGTCTTTATCTTAATTTTGAAATGTGGTTTCCTTCTTAATGATAACTATATCTTTTCATTGTAGGCATTTCAGAAAAAAAATGATATTTTAAAGTATCCTAAAATTTATAATGGCATTTTATTTTATATTCATCATATTTAGGTTTAAGATTAGTTATAAAATTTAAAAATTCATGTAACCATTCAAGGGTTTTTAAGTAGAGATTTAATTCTAGCCATGTGTCTTATAATTTGCTGTAGACATTTTTTGCCATATTGTTTTTTTTTAGTATCTAGTTCATTCTTGACCCTGTCCCAGATGTTCCAGATGTTAACTCCTAATAAAATTCACTTAAATAATAAATACCTATATAGTAACCATGTTCTTCTATTCTCTTCCCTTTTTAGTATGTTGTTGTTACGTGACATCAAGTTGGTTCTAACCCCCAGGGAGGGGACCCTGTATAGGGTTCTGCCGAGCAGCTTTTTAAATCCTTGTTAAAGTTCTACCTCTTGTTGCTCAAGGCTTTCTTACTCTCCTTTCATGTTTTAATCTTTGAGCTAGTATTTTTTCTTATGATTCTTTATTATATAAATAGTGACATTTGATTTTCATTTTATTCAGTTTTATCTTTTCCTGGAATTTACTGTGATTTCCTTATAACTTGGCTTTACAGAAGATATTACTAATAACATAAGCTTGAATTTATAACTTTTGTTTAGGAAATTTTACTATTGATTTTTAAGTATTACAATTTTAAGTATTATAATGATGATTAGTAAATTTTGGCTTGTAGCTTATAATTAACAGTTTTGTTTTTTTTTTGTAATTTCTTCTCAAGGCCAGGAGACAAGCTTCTCAAGTCTTTACTGCAGAGAAGATTCCTTGAAGAATTAAGCATTTTGATGATTGTAGGATTATACTTTGCTTTCCAAATTCATGTATTAAACTTATTAATACAACATATGAATCTCAATTCTATTGAGTACTCAATTTATAATACCATTTGAGTTTTAAAATGTCTAAATTATATTGATTAAATTATACCTTTAGTACTTTATGCTTAATCATTTCAATAAAATATCTTGTTTTACATTGTTTTTGGTTTTCTTTTTTAAAATTCATGTTTTAGAAAGAGATTTTTCTAATAAGACATAAGCTATTATTTATTGGGTCCCTAAGTTAGAGTGTGTCTCAGCATTTTATATATATTGTAATTTAAATTTTCAGAATAACCTTGTGAGATAAGTACTATTATTAGCCTTCTGAAGAAGCTGAAGCATCAAGAATTAGTAATTTGTCCAGGAAGCACATCAGTAAGGAAGTGATGTTAGTCCAGGAAGCACATCAGTTAGGAAATGATCTTGGTCCAGGATCTGAGTCCAGGCTATCTCACTTCCAAGTTCTGTTTTTTTACTACTGTATACCATTTTGCTTTCTTATGTTATAGAACATATAAAATGTTCTATAATGAACTCCTCACAACCTTACAATAAGTATGATATTTAATAGGCATTGCTCAATAAAAGGGGATTGGCTTTTGTTAAATATTTATACTATTTATTATTGTGAATATTTTGTTAATTTTTTTTTTTAATTTAGAATCTGTTCTAAATATATTATTCAGTATTTAGAATCTCATGTTTTAATATGCCCTCTAAGAAAGGAACTTTAAGATAGATGCTTACAGACTTGTATATGCCATGTATGCCAGTTAAAATTCTTTGGTTGTAAGCAAGAATGCTATGGCAAACAAACACAAGGGAAGTCAGTGAAAGATCAGAAGCTCACAAAATTCACAGGTAACTAGAGAACTGAATTGGAATCAAAGCAGCTCTCGAGGCTAAATATAAAATGTATTATAGTAGGAACAATCTGGGTAGGAGCTGAGGTAGAATGTCTGCTCAAAATGCACATTAAATCCAGAGAAGAAACAAGATTGCACCCTCATAGGACTTAAGCACTTCCTCCAAGGGAAACCAGGGTACTGGTGTGGTGCTGTTGGATAAGCAGTAGAGTGCTAACCAAAAGGTTGGCAGTTCAAACCCACTAGCCACTCCTTGGAACCAACTGTGAGTAGGAACCAACTCAACAACACTGAATAATAACCAAAATGAAAAACAAGTGTTTATGACACCATGAAAAATGAACAAGAACCTTAAGAGAAGCTTTATAATTTATAGGTACTCCAGCAAAAACTGCCAAGTAGTGCCAATTGCCCTTCAGACATAACCAGTTCATATCCTCATGCATTTATCCTGTCTTAATGCCACCATTATCTCTCTTTTTTTCTTAAATGTTTTATTGTGAATTATGTGATAGTTTACATGGGAGAACATTAATTTTATATTCATTCTATCGTATATCGTCTCCTTGCCGTGGTTCCAATCCCCTCCATGCATCATCAACCAACCAAAGGGTATACCCTGCAATGCTGCTCCCCATACCCCCAGGTCTTCAGCACACAATCGCTCTCCCTCTCTGGATCTAAAGTCTCCAGCTGCTCCATCGCTCCACGTCATCATCTCTGGCTCCATTACAGGCATCACTGCTTCTCTGGGTAGGGTCCCGCTCTCTGCTCTTCTCCCTTGATGGTCCTAGGGACCTCCGCTCCTAGACTGAAAAGTTAATCACTTCCCTCCTTGCTATAAAACATCTACCTTTACATTTCCCACCCTCACAATCAGTCCTGATAACAATTATTCACTGTTGTATCACAAGAGACCCGTCTGCATTTCATTGTATCAGCCCCGCCTAGACAGATTGGATATTACTCACTGGCGATTCTACCTTCCTCCAGGCCCTGTGGATCTAGATTCCCTCTTGAAAGCTTGTAAGCCAGTCACTTCTTGCCTTTGTAGCTCCCCACCCCCCAATCTGGGTAGCCAATGTCCAAGTTGCCCATCCCTGTCTAGCCACCATTATCTCTTAACCTAGCTTCTCTAATGTTACCTCCTCATGAATCTCCCTACTTCAAGTCTTGATCCTGCTAATCCATCTTCCATATTAAAGTTAAAACATTCTAAACTGCAAATGTTATTTTGTGAGTTCCTAGTTTAATCCTCTTCATTGCTCATCAGTGAAATCCAAACATACTACATAGCCAGGCTCTAGTCTCATCTCTCACTTCTCCTTTCAAACTTCCACTCCATCCTAGCCAAAAAGCCTTTGCCAAGCTGGTGCTATCTAGACTGTCTCATCATAGTACTCAACCTGGTCACTCTTAGAAGTGATTCCTGAACAGCTCAAGCCTGACTTAAGTGTACCTTCTAAGTGCTTGGTGGCACTATTACTTCAAGTGTAGGTCCAGAGAAGGTACGTCAGACAGAATGGGAGATTTGCTATGCCATTTTTCTTTTACAAAAGTTAACAGTTTGTAATGAATTGATATTTTATTTAAAGTGGCCCTTCACAGACATTGAGAAGAGTGTTTAATGATATTGGGTAATTGTTTCAAAATACTTGAGAAATTACAATCTATTCTAATCTAACATTTTTATTCCTTCCTTGAATGTAAACTTGATGATTCCAGAGGCAATGTCTAGTGTTCAGTGGCGGCCTCTCAAGGTACCTGGCTAATAATTGACTTTAAAAACACTTTGTGAGTGAATGAAAATAGACACTAACTTTAGAGAAGCAGTGGTCTTCACTATCCCAGCTAACCATCAGCACCTGGGGTCAATCAGTTCAAAACAATTTTTATAGGATAAAAGAGGAGTCATAGTAAGAAAGTTCTTTTGAGAAGGTATAAGTAAAAGGATAAAAGTTTGAGAGTTCCCACAATCTTTGAGCACGTGATAGAGTTATGAACCTTTTCAGAGAGAGAATAAAAAATAAACAATGTTTGCACACAATATCACTGACTAGTTAAGAATGGATAATCTAGGTCAGTGGTTAGTATTTTTTGACCTCAGTACTTGACAATAAAAACTGAAGTTACCAAAATATTTGGGTGAACTTACAATATTTATATTAGACATTAAACAAGATACCTTTAAAACATAAGACTACATTAATATTCCATAGCTGTAGCTATTGTAACAGTGATGTAATTACATGTCATTTAGTCGCTGGAAAATCTATATGCATATAGTAATTCTAATGAAATTCTAGGTTTAGCATTTTTAAGGAATTATCTATATATATAATTATATATAATTAGAATTTGAAATTCTAGGTTTAGCATTTTTAAGGAATTGCATATATATATATAATTATATATATATATAATCTAGGTTTAGCATTTTTAAGGAATTAAAATGCTAAACCTAGAATTTCATAATTAGAATTACTATATGCATATAGATTTTCCAGCAGCTAAACCCTGTACAGGATCGCTATGAGTCAGAACCAACTCCACAGCACATAACAACAAATCTATATGCCCTGGTGTGGCGCAATTAAGAACTAGTCTGCAAGATTGATTTGAACTGCAAAGCTGGTTCACATTCACCAGCAGCCTCAGAAATGCTAAGTTGTTGTTCATTGCTGTCGAGTTAGTTCAGACCCATAGCGACCCTGTATAGGATTTCTGAGGAGCAGCTGGTGAGCTTGAACCTTCAGACATATATAGCGACCTTACAGCAGAAATGCGATACAGGTCGCTATATACACGGTGTGGTGGTGTGCCGTGGAGTCAGTTCCGACTCATAGCGAGTCTGTATAGGGTCCACGGGAGTAGAAAGCCTCATCTTTCTCCCATGGAACAGCTTGTAGTTTTGAACCACTGACCTTGCGATTAGTAGCCCAACTCATAACCATTACTCTACCAGAGTGCCATATATAGCCCTCAAAACTAAGGCCCATTACTATCAAGTTGATTCATATTCAGTGACCCTGTATGGCAAAGTAATACTCCTTACTCTAGGACTGTAAGTTTACTGGAGCAGACAGCCCTATCACATACGTATGATGTGTGTTTTGAGTGTGTGTGTCAGTACCACATAAGACACTGGACTAATTTTTGTTAATCATCATCCTCATCCTCATCTTCATCTTCAGTTTCTTCATTTTTCTCAGCTGCAAGGATAGCAGCTTCTTGTGCAGCCCTGAAAACTTGTTCCTCTTCCACACTTGGGTCATCTATTTCTGTAATTTCTGGTCCACTGGGATACTCTTGATAAGCTGGTGGTGGAAGCGGTGGTGTATAGTTGTCTGGACTATATTTATGACCCCAGCCTATGTAGAAATTTTCAAACTTTCTATAAGTTAAAAAAATGTAGATGATCATTATACATGATATTGGATAAGAACAATTTACCCTTCTGTAAATAAAAAGTACTTCACATTTATTAATCTATTTTAAAAATCTCAAGGTGAAATATATCTCAATAACTCTTGACCACAGTTTGTTCCAAACTACTTTCGTTGAGAAAAGCATGTGAACAGACCCTGTTAAAACGTGCCCTGCATCTAGTCACAAAAAAAGGCCTTTTGATCATTAATTTGTAGGAAGAAAAAGGAAAGAGACAAAACAAGAATACTTAAGAACTCTTAAAAAGTCACTTCCACAGAGTTAAAAATAATTGAAAAGTTACTAACCTAGCAAACCCTTGTCTAGATTGTTAGGTACGACATGGAAGCAAAGATAAATAGGAGTTTATTTCCTAGGAAAGAGATCCAGGGCATTTGATGTCCTCTTGATGCTAATTCCCTTGAAAATGATAGCCTAAAGAATTCATATTTTAATTCTATTTTATGAAAATGTTTAACAAAATGACCTGAGATCTAAACTAATTTAAACACTTCTTAGTGTTACCTACACATATTCAATGAAAGAATGAATAAGTCAGTTATCCAAATAATCATACAGGAAAAAACTATATTAATTGGGCAATTCAGGTAAAAGGGTAGAAGTCTAAATTACCCAATTTCTTGAATTTGATGCTTTACCGTATAACATAAATACTATTTCGTTAAGCCTTAGGCCATACCTGACGTAGCAAAGAGGACAATGACAGCAGCTTAATATTCCTGTGCTAATTTATAATTTCCAGAGTTTAAATAGTTAATGACAATGGCTTTGTAAGTGAACAGATAAGTAAGTACTTACTTGCCATTAGAAAAGGCATATGCTCCAGGCCAAAGGTTAGATCGAAGAACTGCAATAGCATATTGAGGAATGAGATTTGAGGATAGCCGTGCTGTCCATGGAGGTATATTCTGAATCTCTAAAAACCAGAGAGAAGTTTAAAAGCATAATCATTAGACTGCTAACCATAAGGTTGCCAGTTTTAGTCCACCAGGAACTCTGAGGAGGAAAGATGAGGCTTTCTGCTCCCATAGAAATGTGTTGTTAAGTACCCTGTATAGGGTCTCCAAGGTTGAAATCTTTGTGGGAGCAGAAAGCCTTAACTTGCTCCTGTGGAGCAGCTGGTCAGTTAGAACCGTTGACCTGGTGACTCGAAGTCTAGTGTTTATCATATGGAGCCACCTTGGAAATCCTATATAGAGTTGTTATGAGACAGAACTGATTGGCTGGCACTCAACAACACCAACAACTCATAAACAAAGATCTAAATCAAGGATCTGTGTAGCAGAGAAGTTATTTTTATAAATCTTTAAAAAATGTATCCATATATAACACACATGATATAGAAAACTTAAAATACCAACAGCTTAATGTAAAATCAGGAGTATTATACCAGTATGTCATTGTTGTGGAACAATGAAATTTGAATGAGGGGAGTAATATTTGATAACTAGATGAAAGTTCAAACCTTTAATTATGAAAGCACATGAGTACTGTAAAACTGAGTAAGTCCACTGCCGTGGGGTTGACTGCAACATATACTGACCATATAGTGACTCTATAGGACCGAGTAGAACTACTCCATAGGGTTTTTGAAATGAAATCGTTACAGGTGACAGCCTTATCTTTCCCCTGCCGAGTGGCTATTGGTTTAAACCACTGTCCGTGCAGAGTTAAGTGCTTGGAGGCAAGCTAAAAGGTTGGCAGTTTGATCCCCCAGTTTGCTTCCTTAAAGATGTACAGCCTTGGTAAACCCTATGGGGCAGTTCTACTTTATTGGAATTCAACTCAACGTAAGTGAGTTTGGGTTTCGGTTTTATATAATTTCTGTGTCTGTATGTAATTAGTTATATAAAATCACCCAAATCTTCAGAAATTGGTGTCAAAAGTGGAGGCCCCACTTCCGGTTCTATGTAGTCAGGTTCTTCTCCTTTTTCCACTTCTTCTTTTTCTTCATCCTCTTCCTCTTCTTCTTCTTCACTTTTTTGGATGGGGTTGAACCAATTACAGCGACCCTGAGAATGAGTACGGCAACATTTAATTTTCAGTGAAGATACTAAAAGTCCATGATATCCATTTGGATTAAAAGCAATTACAAACATGAGTCAAACAAAGTCCCCACTGTGGGGAATTTAAACTTCATTCATTCAACACAAATTTACCAAGTGGTATTTCCATGCAGGTAAGTTCGTCAACTTCTTGAAGTTAAAAACCATGATTTTATATTTTCAAATTAGCAGGACCCTAATGAGAAAGTAATATACTTTGCTATTGTGTTATGTGGCACTGTAGTATAAGTATTCTCTTGCAAGGTCGGTTTGAACCACAAGGGTGATGGTTCAATTCATCAGTCATTCCTCAGAAACCTTACAGGGGTCACTATGGGTTGTAACCAACTCGATTGCACTTAGTAACAACAACAATGAGGGAGTTAAAATTATATTATATGGTTATGATTATTAATAGCAATAAAATAAAAACTTGGTAACAAGGCTAGGTATGTAGATTTGGGTGTTAATACATTTTCATTTAATTTTTTTTTCTTTTCTTTTGTTTTCATTTAATTATCTTTTATCTAGAGGTGTCCAACGGTACTCTTATCTAGATCAAGTATAATGAATTAATTTTTTTCTTAATCACTTAGCAAGACAATATAGCAGAGTGATTAATATATCTACGAACCTATGCCACCTGACCTCACGTCTGACCTTGCTACGCATATTAGCTATGCTTCTTTTATTTCCTAGACTCTGTGACTCAGATAACGTAATTTAAAGGTAATAATAGGACATCTTTCATAGGGTGGTTGTGAGAAATAAATGAAATAATACATCAAAGTACTAGCACAATACCTGTCACAATAGGTGTTATACAAGTGATATAGAGCACAGTTGGTTTTTTGTTATAAGCCTTTATTGTTCAGAGCATAAATGCTCCATTAGTGTCCATGGATTATAGAGATGTGAAACTAAAAAACCCAATGCCATCGAGTTTATTCTGACTCATAATAGAAATAAAAAACCACAAAAACTATGTCATAACACACACAAACTTTCTCTTTATGTCATGGTCAAATATTCCATAGAAGTAGATAAATTATTTTGCATTTGAAAGAACACCTGTTTGAAAATCTCTGGCCCGTACTACATGGTACTGTTTTTAAAGTCTTTTTCTTTGTCTAAAGTCTAACGGGCTTCAATTTATTTACCTTTGTACATTGTAGAGAGAATTTAATAAATATTTGCTGGTGTGAGAGTTGTAAAGCGCCTACCTGAGGGAGAATATATTGCACATGATGAACCCAATTGGAGAGGGATTCCACTAGGTCAAGCACTGAGATGCCTTCAAAATCGGGGTTTTCCTCAAAACTCTCTCGCCCACCTTCTACCTCTTCCTCCTCTTCGCCTTCTTCCTCTCCAAACTGATAGAATCCTAGAGGGCTGACTTGGGTCCCTGCAGAAATTCTAGCTATTTGTGCTCTTAAGTAATTGCTCTCATTTCCTGGGAAAGGTGGGTAACTTATGACAGGAGCGTCTAATCGTCCAGTAAAATATTTCTTGATTTTTCTTGCAGTAACAATTTGTACTGGTGTAACTGATGGTAACTTAACCCATGGTCTTCCAGGTTCACTGCAAACAAAATAGACGTATTTGTTGGCGCCTGTTCTGCTTTCTTCTTTTGGTACAGCCTGTGGAACCTTGTAAAAAGACTTTGGTAAATCATGTTCCTCATCTTCATCTGCTTCGCTTTCTCCATTATCCTTCTCTTCAGCTACATCTTCCTCTTCCACCTCCTCTTCATCTTCCCCCTCACGAAATTCCACCTCAGCTACAATGTAATTCATTTCCAGACCCAGGATCTTGCCCCAGAAACGACATTTGTGTATTGGGTGGGTGTCAGTCAGCTGCTTGAAGGCAAGGAATATGCGGTAAGTCTCATCTGTGCCCAAACAAACTCCAGCTTGTTCAAAATAGAAAGCTGACTCCATTACATTTGGAAGGGAGTTTTCTGCCTGAGAATACAAACACTGAGTTAGAAATGGTCCCTAACAGGACTGCTTTATTCCAGTTTCTGTTTTGCACTTCTTGATATAGCTCGACTTTCTGCCACTTCCACATTTCTATCAAGATATAAATTCATGAACTTCAGTTCCACTCTCATTATTATCAATGTAATTTCTACTATGGTATCTTATACTCTTTAATAACTATAGCAATTATCTTGTTATTTATATATATATTTAAGCATAAGGAATATAATAACCATTATTAATATTAACCATAAAATATCCTCTTTTTATAACAAAACACTTAACTTCTCTGTATTAACTCCCTTGTATATATGTAAAGATACACACACACAGTACATATGTATAGATACACACACACACTTGGCACATCTGTACCTATGAAGTCCTTGCATGTCCAAATGGTTAACAGGTTTGGCTATTCACTGAAAGAATGGTAGTTTGATTCTACCCAGAGAGAAACACTGAGAAGACAGGCCTGGTTTTATATATATATAATATATGGACCTCTGGTAGCATAGTGGTTACAAACGCAGCAAGGTCAGCAGTTTGAAACTACCAGCTGTTCTTTGGAAGAAAGATGAGGCTTTCTGCTCCCATAAAGATTTACAGCTTCGGAAACCCTGTACAGGGTCGCTATGAGTCAGAACCGACTCCATGGCACATAACAACAACCAACAACAAGAATATATATATATGTTTTAAAAAGCATTGAAAACCCTGTGGAGCACAATTCTATTCTGACACGTATGAGATTGCCACAAGCCAGAATTGACTCAAAGACAGCTGGATTTTTCAGGGCAGGCCTATATTTATATCTATATAGATATATGGTATCATAGTTCTTTTTTCTCTGTAATGCATATATATTTTTCTAAAGATATATGTCATACATATATGTATGTATGTAATAGTAGGTTAAATGAAACAATATGTGATGCTGTATGATAAGCACTCAACCACAAGGTTAGTTTGAACAACAAGGTTGGCAGTTCAAATCCGCCAGCCACTCCTTGGAAACCCTACACAGGGTTGCTATGAGACAGGGACTGACTCAATGGCACTTAACAACAACAACATAATTAGATAAATGTAGGATAAACATAGAATATATAAACGGAACGTGTAATAAAGTGCTCTGACATTAAAGACACAATGAAGTACTCAAGTGCGTGTCCTTATTTACAACACACAAATTTTAATTTTAAATAGGAAGAACATTTTAATCAATTCCATAAAAGAAGCATAGGGAAATGAACATGAAGAGTCTCAAGTTAACATTAAGGAAAAAAGTTATGGGAAAGTCAGAAATAACCTGAATTGAAGATGGGATCATTTGCAAAGCAAATTCTAGACTCTCAAGGTGGAGAAGTTGAATTTTTTTCCAAATGATTTGGCTTTATTTAGGTATAAATAAGCATAAATTCTTTGTCAGCTCTCAGCTCCTTAATATAGGATTGAAAACCTCCTTGTCAACCCTCAGCTCCTTGATGTAAGACTGTCATCCTCTTTGTCAGCTTTCAGATCCCTGATGTATGATTGTAGTAAACTTCTTTCCTCAGAATCTGCTGCACCACTCAATTCTTGAACTTATTTATCCTGCCCTCTAGAACTATTTCTTCTTAATCTTTTCACTTGGTTCCTTTTTTCTTAATTGACTCTTGGACGTGTTGTCTCCAAAATATCCTTTCCAAGCATATCTTAGTACCTTATGTTTCAAAGATTTCTACCACACCACAGCACTTTAGTGATGTTAAGTGCTGTTGAGTCAGTTCCCACCCAAAACGACACTGTATTGGGTTTCCAAGGAGCATCTGGTGAGCTTGAACCACCTGCCTTATGGTTCAAACCAACTTTGTAGTCCAGCTCATTAACCCACAGTGACACACCACTTCAGTGACATGTGGCTTTAAAACAATTTCTATCTTTAACTCTGATTTTTTTCTCCAACATTCCACACCTATATTTCCAGTTACATAAGAAGAATTTCAGTCTGAATATTCTCCAGATTCCTTGAGTTAAGACTGAACTCATACTTCTCTCAACATCTGTTCAATGTAAGCATATACCGTATACTTACAATGATATCACTATTTAGTCAGCTTCCTAAACTAGAAAGTATAGTCATCTTTGCTTCCCCTTATTCTCTTGACCTTTCATACATAATTATTTAGAGTCCTATTGGTTCTAACCAAAAGAACCAAACCCACTTCTGTTGAGTTGATTCTGATTCATAGCAACCCTATAAAACAGCCCCATAGGATTTCCAAAGTTATAAATTTTTACAGAAGCAACTGGCACATCTTCCTCCCTTGGAGCTGCTCGTGGTTTTGAACTGTTGACCTTTAGCAGTTGATCACTTTAACCTCTGTGCCAGTTGGGTTCCTCCTATTGGTTCTATCATCTAAAATTTTCTTGTCATTATCCTCAACTTCAACTCACACCTGCCATTCTAGTCCCCATCCTTATTGACTGTCTTGTTACAAAGACTTCTAATATTTTTCTTACTCACATTCTAAGTTTTTTTTTATTGTCCTCCATGCTACCACCAGAATTATCTTTCTAAATGAAAAGTCAGACCATATCATTCTCTATTAAAAATCTCATTTGGCTCCCCATTGTATACAAGAAAGGGCTTTCTTGTCAGTGCACAGAAGACCTGAATTTGGCTTTCATCACTTCGTTGTTGTTTAGTGCCATGGAGTCTATTCTGACTCACAGTGATCCTGTATAGGGTTTCCAAGGAGCAGTTGGTGGTCTTGAACCACCAGCCTTGTGGGTAGCAGTCCAATGCTTATCCTATAGTGCCACACCAGGATTTTATCACCTAGCTAGCTTCATTTTCTTCTCTCAGTCCCACATCACTCATTTCCAAAAGTTTAGGCTCCACCTTTACAAAGATTAATTAATATTTACCAACTTTTTATTGGTTACTTTGCTTAGAATTTTATTCTTTAAAGTTTTCACCTAGTGGACTCCTACTCATCCTTCATGATTTAAACGCAATATTACGATTATAAAACCTTTCCTAATTCCAAACAGCAGAGTTAGTTGCTCTGTTCTGTTTTACAGCTGTTGTGTAAACAAGGTGATATAAATACAACCAATCTTTAAGTTCTTAGTATGCATGTGTCAATCTTTCAAAATATGTCCATATGGGATTATCCCTGAGGCTTGGAAAGGTTTAGTTACTTGCTCAATGTGGCCAAAAAGAAAAACCCAAAGCAAAGAAATGAGTGTTAAAAAGTGAGGGTGACTGGAAAAGTTTGAGAGAGATTTAAGAAAAAATAAGATGTAAGTATTATTTTCAAAAATCACACCCACACTATTGAGAAAATTCTGACTCATGGTGACCCCATGTGTTTCAGAGTAGAACTGCACTCCGTAAGGTTTTCAATGGCTGTAATTTTATGGAATCCTGATGTGGCACTGTAGGATCATCACTGGACTGCAAATAACAAGGTTAACAGTTCTAACCCACCAGGTGCTCCTTGGAATCCCTATACAGAATCTCGGAGTCAGAGCACTTAACACTTAACAACACCAATAACAACAATCCTAAGGAAGTAATTTTCAAAGGCTTTCTTCTATAGAGCAATTGGATTGATCCCAACCACCAATCTTTTACTAAGTAGCTGAGTGCAAACTATATTAGAACGCTAGTAAAGACAGCTGGTATGAATTAAAAGCGCCTAATCTGAACTATTCAAATTTACAGAGTAACTTACTATTTCATCTTCCAGATCTTGGTCAGTGCCTTCCAAATTTCCCTGGAGAAAAAGAACCTTTTGTTTCTCTGCTATTTCATATGTTGGAAGCATCTCGTTCTCATTTTGGAGTGTATCTAATTTTTTACTAAAATGTGCCATCTTCACATCTTGGCTAATATTTTCAATGATTTCAACGGCATTTTCAGGACGCTCATTTAAGATCTTGGTCAGCACATTAGAAAGATGATCATATCTATCCCAAAAGAGAAAATTTCAGAGAATATCATGCCAAGATCATTTGAAGGAGTGTTTTTCTTTCAGTTAATTTTAGTTGGCTCTTAAGGAACTTCGACAACTTGAAGTTTTCAGAAATTTTAAGTGGATAAACATTTAGGATAAATTTCCCCACTGCCAGAAAGAACCTCTCTTAAAATAGGAAGTTCTTCGAATATGATGAATATTTTTTTAACATATTAAAAATATCTAAAGCAAGACATATTCTACATCAGCTTCATTTTCACAACTTAATTCTGAGGCAGAAATCTCTTAGTTATATATTTTAAAATAATTAATGCTAGTGTTCAATTTTTTGCCTTAACTTTTTTCTCATACTCCTTCTCTGCCCTCACCAAATCCAATTTGATGTTGGCTGGTTACACCTACTCTTACTGGACAAAGTGGGGAAAGAAAGGAATGAGCTAAGGGTTTCAACATCCCAGTCCAAGAGTGCACATCCGGGGCAAACAGGTTCTATGCCCAGTGCCACCAACAAAGAAGCAGTCTACACTGCAGAGACTGTGAGAAAATACAGTTCTGTTCTTTAAAGCCAACCACTTACAGTATTTGTGTTATAGTATTATAAAACAACTCTGACAGAATTTGTCCACTATCTGTCCAATGTGGAAACTTGCACTGATTGTCTGACTGGTGGAAATATATGTCCCCAACTTCATTTCTAATTTTTTTTTTTCTATTATACCTTCTGCCACAGTGAGGTAAATATAGTGAAAATAGTTTTTGTACAATTGCTAAATCCAACCTAGGTTTCTTTGCTCTATTCCTTGCTGTATCCCATCTCTGTTGTTGCTAAGTGCTGTTGAGTCAGTTCCAACTCATAGCGACCCTGTATGGGGTTTCTGAGGAGCATCTGGTGAGTTTTAACTGCTAACCTTTTGGTTCAAACCAACTTTGTGGTCCAGTGCTTTATCCTCCAGTACCACACCAGGACTCTGCCATAGCCCATATACAACAGTTATCTCAAGCAGTGACTTTAAACCCACTTCATCCTCAAGGTTGTGCCACTGAAGTCATTCCTAAAAACCAATTTTCCTCAGAATGGCTCTTTTTGAGATCACCGATATGCTGCTACATAACTGTCTGTAATATGTACTCCTACTTGCTTCTTCTACAACGGCATTAGGTTCTTCCTAGCAGATATTAGGATTTTATTTTTCATGTATCTCCTCCCTCATTATAAACAAAATATATTCTCAATAATTGCCTACTTTTCCATTTATTGACCCAAGATGCTATTTTATGTGTTTTAATGTCTACATTTATCAAATGGACTCAGTTGTTAGGTGCCATTGAGTTGGTTCTGACTTACAGTGGAGTTCTGGTTTGGTGCTGTGGGTTAATGCGCCAGACTGCAAAGCTGTTTGAACTGCAAAGTCAGCGGTTCAAGCTCACCAGTCACTCCTTGGAAACCCTATTCAGGGTCGCTATGGGTCAGAACCGAATCGACGGCACTTAACAACAACAACAACAATGTACATAAGAAGGAAACACTGCCCACTCCTGCACCATCTTCATAAGTGTTGCTATCACTTAAGGCCATTGTTACAGTCACAATATAAGTTCACCTCATTGAGAGTCTTCCTCATTAATGGGCTTTGTTGTTGTTTGTTTTTGTTAAATGCCATACTCAATTTTGACTCATAGTGACCCTGCATAGGATTTCTGAGGATCGACTCCTGTGTTTGAACCACCAATCTTGCAGTTACCAGTGGAATGCTTTATCCCACAGCACCACACCAGTGTAGATTATATGGGTAACTGATGTAAAGGGCAGCTAACAACTATAGTATACTTTGAGTATTGAATTCAACTCAACAGTACTAAAACACATGGAGAAGCTTCCAGACTGAAAACACTGTTGTAAGCAGTAGCTGGGTATGTAGTGGCAGCTAGAGTCTTTCATTTGATCTAATAAAGGTACTGTATGACATCAAATAAGGGACTTCTGGTGTGTTGCTGTAGGATCAGTAGTGGACTGTGACTCACAAGGTCGGCAGTTCAAATCCACCAGTTGTTCCTTGGAAACCCTATGAGTTGGAACTGACTTGATGGCATTCAACAAAATGTCTGATTTTAAGTTCTACTTTCCATGTTTCAATATACTGTTTACATGGACTTTACTCATAATTCTTCAAATCAAATATTGTATGTATATGTTTTTTTAAGGAAAACTACATATGGCTACCCAAAATGGAAGGTTTCAAAGTCAAGAAGTGACTGGTTTACAAGCTTTCAAGAGGGAATCTAGATCCAGAGGGTGTGGAGGAAGGTAGAATCTCCACTGAGTAGTATTCAATCTGTCTGGGCAGGGCTGATGAAAGGAAATGCAGATTGGTTTCTTGTGATACAATAGTGATTAATTGTTATCAGGATTATTTGTGAGGGCTGGAAATGTAAAGGTAGACATTTTGTAGCAAGGAAGGGAGTGATTAACTTTTCAGTCTAGGAGTGGAGCCCCTGGGACCATCAAGGGAGAAGAGCAGAGAGCAGGACCCAGAGAAGCAGCGATGCCAGAGATGGAGGCAGAGGAAATGATGTGAAGAGATAGACCCAGAGAGGGAGAGGGGCTGTGTGATGACGACCAGGGGGTGGGTGAGGGGAGCAGATTTGCAGAGTATACCCTTTGGTTGGTTGATGATGCATGGAGGTGATTGTAACCATGGCAATAAAACGATATATGATAGGATGAATGTAAAGCTAATGTTCTCCCGTAAACTATCACATAATTCACAACAAAACATTAAAAGAAGAAGAAGAAGAAGACCACATCTGAAAATGCCGTCATGTTAAATTATAAGTCATGTATATTATGTTTTAACTCATAGCTATATATATACATATATGTTTTAATTTGGAAGCATTAGTATTTAGTTTTAATAGAATGGCAGAAAAAATTAGAAGCAATTCTTTTCTGATGACTCTATTAAGTGATTAGAAAATGTTAGCTCCTGCATTTTAGTCAAACATTGCTATAATTACAATAAAATAACTTTCAGGGTAATAAAATAAATTCTGCATATAATCAGTGCTTAGCTGCAGTCTCTAAGTCCTAGAGTATAACAGCTATTATTTTGGAAAATATTAATTTACTACCTCAGAGAGCTAATATTTGGAAATAAAACAAGTTCTAGATATATAAGCATACAGGAAGAAAGCAAAAAGTCATTAAGAAAACAAGTAAGAAAGAGAAGATCAAAACTGATGTCAGAAGAGACTTTGAAACTTGTTCTCCAGCATAGAGATGCTAAAGCAAATGAAAGAAATGAGGAGGTCCAAGAGCTGAACAGAAAATTTCAAAGGTCAGCTCAAGAAAGAAGATAAAGCCAAATATTACAATAAAATGTACAAAGATCTGGAGTCAGAAAACTAAAAGGCAAGAACACGCTGAACATTTCTCAATCTGGGGGACCTGAACAAAAATTCAGCCTCAACTTGCATTATTGAAGGATTCTCTGGGCAAATTATTGAATGATGCAGAAAGCATCAAAAGAAGATGGAAACAATACACAGAGTCATTGTAACAAAAGGAAATGGTCAATGTTCAACTGTTTCAAGAGGTAGCATATTATCAAGAGCCAATGATACTGAAGGAAGAAGTCCAAGATGCATTGAAGGAATTGGCAAAGAACAAGGAACCAGGAATTGAAGGAATGAAAATTGAAATATTTCATGAAAGTGAGGTGGCACAGGAGGCACTGACTGACTCATCTATGCCAAGAAATTTGGAAGACAACTATCTGGCTGACTGATTGGAAGAGATCCATATTTGTGCCCATTCCAAAGAGAGGTGATCCAACAGATTGCGGAAATCATCAGACATTATCTTTGATATCCCATGTGAGTAAAGTTTTACTAAAGGTAGTACAGAAATGACTGCAAGCATCCATTGACAGAGACCATCCACAGGTTCAAGCCGGATTCAGAAGAGGATATGAAATGAGGGATATTATTGCTGATGTCAAACGGATCTTGGCTGAAAGCAGAGAACACCAGAAAGATGTTTACCTGTGCATTATTGACTAAACAAAGGCTTTCGATTGTGTGGATCATGACAAGCTATGGATAACAGTGTCAAGTATGACTTAATTGTGCTCCTGAAGAACCTGTACATAGACCAAGAGGCAGTTGTTCGAACAGAACATGGGAACACTGAATGGTTTAAAATTAGGAAAGGTGTGTGACAGGGTTGTATTCTTTCACCATAGGTATTTAATCTGTATGATGAGCAAATAATCCCAGAAGCTGGGTTATATGAAAAAAAACATGGCATCAGGACTGGAGGAAGACTCATTAACAACCTGCGATATGCAGATGATACAACCTTGCTTGCTGAAATTGAAGAGAACTTAAAATAGTTAATGATGAAGACCAAAGACCACAGCCTTTGGTGTGGATTGCATCTCAATGTAAAGAAAACAAAATCCCCACCAGCAGACCAATAAACAACATTCTCATCAATTGAGAAAAGATTGAAGTTGTCAAAAGACTTCATTTTTCTTGGATCAACCATCAACACTCAGTCAAGAAATCAAACAACATGTTGCATTAGGTAAATCTGCTGCTCAAGACCGTTTTAAAGTATTGAAGAGCAAAGATGTCAGCTTATGGATTAAGGTACACCCGACTCAAGCCAGGGTATTTTCAATAACCTCATATATATGCAAAAGTTGTACAGTGAAGAAGGAAAATCATAGAAGAATCGATGCATTGAATTATGGTATTGGAGGAGAATATTGAAAGTACTATGGTCTGCCAAAAGAACCAACAGATCTGTGTTTGAAGAAGTACAGCTAGAGTTTTCTTGGAGGCCAGGATGGCCAAACTTTGTCTCTCATACTTTGGACATATTGTCAGGAGGGACCAGTCGCTGGAGAAGGATATCATGTTTGATAAGGTGGAGAGGGTCAGAGAAAAAGAGGAAGACTCTCAGTGAGATGGATTGGCAATGTGGTATCAGTGGAGTCAAGCATGGCAACAATTGTGAGGTTAGCCCAGGACTGAGCAGTGTTTTGTTCTGTTGTGCATAGAGTCACCAGGAGTCCATACCGACTTGATGGCACCTGAGGATAACAGCAGCAGCAACAACAGATATGTATAACGTTATAAATGGCCTTCAGTATTATGATGCAAATGTACAGAATGTTATGATAGAGTTCCTGGAAGCAGGGTTTTGAAGACTGAAGGAGACTTGGGTAATAAGCCTTCTGGGCAGAGGAAACAACAAAGGAACTAAAGAGGCTCTCTAGCTGGAGCAAAGTGATGGTGCAGGAGTTAAGAGCTAGTGAATGCTGTGAGTTGGTGTAATCTTGAAAATAATTAGTTTTTCTGATAACTCAGTCCCCTCATTTAAAAACAAGTAGGTTGGATTAGATCTTTTCTTATAGTAGGGTCTCTTCTAGCCCTTAAATTCTGCGACCCTATGATTATGTTAGGAGCTTTGGTAGAGTAGTGGCTACGAGTCGGGTGCTTACCTCAAGGTCAGTAGTTGGAAACTATCAGTCATTCTGTGGGAGTTAGATGAGGTTTTCTGCTCCTATAAAGATTTACAATCTCAGATCGTTATGAGTCGGAACCAACTCCACGGCACACAACCCCCACTGTCACTTATTCTTGGAGGCCTGGTGTGGCACTATACGATCATGCACTGGACCTCAAGGTCGGTTTGAATCACAAGGTTGGTGGTTCACACTCAACGGCCTCTCCTAGCAAACCCTGTACTGGGTCACTATGAGTTGGAACTGACTCCACAGCACTGAACAATAACAACTTTTTCTTAACTGGAGAGTACGTCTCTCTTTAGAGGAACCCTGCAAGTAATAATCCATGCTGCAAACCGCAAGGTCAGAAGTTTGAAACTACCAGCTGTTCCATGGGAGAAAGATGAGGCCTTCTGCTCCCGTAAAGATTTACAGTCTCGGAAACCCTGTATAGGGGTTGGTATGAGTTGGAACCAAATCCAAGGCTCATAACAACAACAACAACCTGTCAGTAGATCTTCTTATCAATGTGCTATATTTATTTTCTGCTCTGATACAGAGCCCATTCTCAAAGTAATACAGATGGACGTTGATTAATCTAACTTTGTACCTCAAAAATGTGAACTATGAAAAGTGTTTTCCTTAAGTGCTAATGAAAGTAAAATGTATAATTAGTTATGCTCTGATTTAATAGTGAATCTTGCTATTAGTCAGCCCTGATGTGGTGCTGTGGGTTAATGCACTGGACTGCAAGGTTGGTTTGAACTGTGAGTTCGGTGGTTCAAGCTCACCAGCCATTCCTCGGAAACTCTAGACAGGGTCACTATGAGTTAGAACTGATTCAGTGGCATTTAACAACGATTAATCAGCCAGTAATGCTCCCCCACACTCACCATCCTCAAACAACCCTAAACGTGCATAAATAGAGCACTTAAAGTTTAACCATAGACTTTGAGCCCTAGTGTGGCACTGCAGGATAAGCATGGGACTACTACAAGTTCCATGGCTCAAACTCACCAACTACTCTTGGAAACCCTAAAATGGATCTCTATGAGTTGGAACAGACTTGATGGCACAAAACAACTACCTTAGACTTTATTACAATAGCATCAAAAACCTAGATTCAGAATTATTTATAAATTGATCACCTGAAAATGTTTCTCTGTTAATGTTTAAAAAAAAAATCAAGTGTAAGAAATCAGTAAGTTTTAAAATTGAAACTTTGTAACCATCTAGTGTAGTCCTGGGTTCTAGTGTGGCATTGTAAGATAAGCACTGGACCACAAGCTTGGTTTGAACCACAAAGTTTGCACGTCAAATCTACCATCTGCTCCTTGGAAACCCAATACAGGGTCCCGGTGAGTTGGAACCAACTCCATGGCACACCACCATTCCATTCCATGATTATGTTACCTGGAAACAAGAATCTCCAGAAACGTTCACTCAGTCATGAGTTCTAAAATTAAAGCAATCATGGAATGGTCAGAACATGCCTGGATCAGTGCACTCTAAGATTCATCTGTATTAAACAGTCTATTCGGAGTGACCTGTAATACTCCAGGTTTATCCAGGACTGAGAGGTTTATTCCTGGGATGAAGGATGTTTAGTGTAAAATCAGGATATTGTTGTTGTTGTTAAAGACCATTGAGTAGATCCCACTCATAGTAACCATGCATAGGGTTTCTGAGGGGCAGCTGATGTGTTTGAACCACAGACCTTCCTTATTCTACAATGCCACACCAGAACCCCAGTATCAGGGTGTTACTGTTCTTGTTAAGCACCGTCGAGTCAGTATAGCCAACTTGTATTGGGTTTCTGAAGAGTGACTGGTGAGCTTGAACTGCCAACCTTGTGGTTCAAATCAACGTTGCAGTCCAGCACATTAACCCACAGTGCCACACCGGTTGCTCCAGTATTAGTCTGTGTGGGAACACAAACCCAAGACATGCAAAGACTAGGATGTTTAGACTGGAGATATGAACTCCCTTTCACTTTTTACAATCACCTTGGGGTGACACTTGGACTTCACTATCCTTATAGTCTTTTCCAAGTCGTTTGTTGTTGTTAAGTGCCTTTGAGTCAGTTCTGATCTATAGGGACCCTGTATAGGGTTTCCAAGGAGTGGAGGGTGAAATTGAACCGTCGACCTTGCATTTCAAACAAACCTTGCAGTTCACTGCACTAGCCCACACCACCACACTAAGACTCCCTTTCCAAGTCTGAGACCCTATAATTCCTAGGTTTTATTTCTATTTGTCGAAGGGACTTTATGGTATAGTGGTATAAGATAAGCACTGGATTGCAAATCACAAGGTCTGCAGTTCAAATCCACTAGCTGCTCTTTGGAAACCCTGTATAGAGTTGTTATGAATTGGAACCAACTCAATGGCA